CTTCCGCGAGGCCCGGCACGGGAGAGGAGGGGAGAGGCCCAGGCTGCTTGGGGCGGAGGGGGCCGGGGAGGAGGAGGAGGAGGAGGACTAGGCGGCCGAGAGCGACGGAGAAGAACGTTGAGGACTGCACGTCAGGACCTCGCATAACTCTCGACCCCGACGTTCGCGCGGATCTGTCGCCATGGACCGTCGCTTCTGGACCCTCAGGCCCAAAGAGAGCCCTGGGAGGCCTGATCACTGGATCAACAGCGGACACGAGTTCCACCGCGATGCCTCGAATCGAACGTGGGGCTGGCGCGAGCAGGGGGGGAGGGGGGGGGGGCGGTTTTCCTAAAAGGTATGGGCCGCCTTCGAAAAGCCAGGAGCCTTCCAAGAAAGCCTCTCAGAAGCGGGGCGGGCATCTGAGACGCCCCCGTTGTCTGGGCGGTCTTCTAAGCAAACAGCGAGCCTTCCCATGAGGCAATGGCCTAAGTCGAAAACTTGGGATACTTCCAAGAAGGCTTCTCAAAAACTGGGCGGGCTGCGCAACGCGCACGATCGCACGATGAAAGCGCGCACGTGTACGTTTTCCTTCTGCTCCTGAGAAAAAGATGCAAGGGCCTTGGAAGGCCATCTCGAAGCTTTGCGAACGGGGCGCGGCCAACGACATCGACGAAGGATGGGCCGAGGGGGCAAGCATACAGAAGCAACCTCGGGAAAGTTGCCCATCCATACTATGCGGGTTGATTGTGGTCGTGAACGGGACCACACGCCCAGCTTCAAGGCATCGCTGTCGGGGCGCCCTGGCCGCAACCCCGTGGATCCACGGACAAACACTGCGGTTTTGCGCTGATGCCCCCCCGCGCGGAACGCGCCCATGGTGTCCAGACGGCGATGCTAGAATCACACAACTGCACACACATACACACACTTATATATATATGTACATGCATACATACATACATACATACAGACAGACAGACAGACAGACAAGCAGACAGACATACAAACATACATACATACATACATACGTACGTACGTACGTACATACATACATACAGGTGCTGTTGTATTTTACTCGTGGAGACAATATCTGCTACAAGGTGCCACGCGTCGACGCGACTCGACGCCAGTCGATCGAAACAAAGAGCAAGTCGAGAGCCGTGTGACTAGGACGGCTCCCGCTCAAGACATCCCAAACACGAAGAGGGCAACCCGAGCCCTGAAGGTTCCCAGGGACGGGCGGGACAGGGCACCAAAAAGCGAGACAACAACGAGCCAAAAACACACAGCGCTGGCGGGGCAGAAGGCCAGCGTCAGCCAGGCACTAGGGAGGCAATGCGACCACGCTCATGGGACAACAGCGTTTGGACCATGGCTTTACACAAGCTGGGGGGGTAAGAAGCTGCTATTGCCGTCCACTTTACACCAGATGGAGCAGCTCCTTCCAGTACGAAGTGTCTTCTACCAGAGCGACTGCACACCCCCGAGCTCCCTTTGCACCTACGATCGGATTTCCGTGTATCGGACGCGTCAATGAAGAAGAATGCAAGCTTTGTGCGTTTACGCCAACAACGTCCGAACTGACACTGGTCAAAAATCCGAGTGTGGCCATGGAACCTTCTGAGGAGATCAATGAGCTCGGGGGCGTGCCAAATTCTCGAATTGACGGGATGCTCTAGAATCGTTGGAACCTGACATTTACACAGCACTCGTAAAAGCTGTGTAGCACACCGAAAGATATTGCTACCGCGCTCCAAGCGCTCACACTGACGCTTTGTCAACTCGTTAGCATCGAGACCCCACGGCTGCTCTTTCGAACGGATAGGGCCGTCTTTAACTCTGTCCGCCGCTCCACCCCAGGCATCGCACGGTGGGCCCATGACCGCACCTATCACTTCCTTCCGTCTGACTGCAGCCGCCACACATTTGATCACTCTGGGCACCGTCAAGTCCTCGCTCGGCCCATGGGCCCGATCATACGCATGAGCATTGCAACCCTGCTGGGCTGCGGCCCGCGCGACGCCACCAGTCCCCGCATGAAGGTCGAGGATGTAGCGGCTCTTGAAATGCCCCGCCAATGGGGCACCACGTCGTGCGGTCTGCCGGGGGGCATGTCCTCGAGCGCTGCTCCGCGTGCCTCCAGCAGTTGGGATATCCTGTCTGGGGGCAGCCCCCAACTCCTCGACAGCCCGACGCCCTCGTCGCACCGCTGGGCACTCATGATGCTTCCACTCTGTCCGCGACGCTGGGCCTCCGACACCGTCCGACGCTGCCCGAAGATGTCGATCGACGGTCCCACGTGCCGCCTCTGGTGCTGCACTATCGTCTCTGTGATGCCTGGCTCGTCCCGCGAAACGTTCGGCCTCCGGGGGCTCCGGAGACACGTGACCGTCCGAACCACCTGGTCCTTCGGCCCATCGTCCATCACTCTCTTGACGGGCCTCATGAACCGCAAGAGCGGCGAGTCTATCTCGATGCTGACGTCGCTGCGGGTGGCCCTGCTCCGCTCGATCCGCTGTGAGAGGGAGAACAGCAGGCTCCAGGGGAGGGAGATGCCACCTGCAGGCGCAATCGTACCACGCGGCTTGAGACTCATCAGCTTGTTCGGCCTCCAGCGGCTGCCCAGCGAGACCGACCGCAGGACCGAGGCCTGCAGAAGGAAAAGGCCAGTCAACATCCTGGCCAGTCCAGCCCACAACGTCAGAGACCAGCTGCGCCAGCTGCGGCCGGGGCCCCCCCGCCGCCAGCCCCTCCGGCAACGGCAGACCCGGGGGGGCCCGCAGCGGCCAGCCCTCGAGAGCTCCGCCGTCGAAGACATCAGGCCTGCAAGGATCTGAATGCCCTGGCTGGCGCCCCAGCTCATGAAGAGGAGGAAACCGAGGTGCCCCATTCGCATGCCGTCGACCAGCTCGCCGTGCACCCACGGGCGCCCTTCTTCCGAAAAGTCGAAGCCCGCCGGCCGGCTCTGGCATCGCTCCAGCACCTCCAGCGCCACCGAGCTCTCGCCAGGGGAGCGGTGGCCGCCCCCGGCCGCGGCCGTCAGGGCGGTGATCAGGTGCTCTCGTCCTCTCTGGCGGTCCGTGCGCTTCCGCGCTGCTCTCAGCGCGGCGCCAGGCCCTGGCCTCCCCTCGCCGCTGGTGCTGCTGCTCTCGCCGACGTCTGCCAGCCTGGGCGCGGGCTTCAGGCGATCCTCGCTGTCGGAGGGAGTCCTTCCGTGGCGCTTCCCACTCGGCCTGCCGCGCAGCGCCGGCGGGGCGCCCGGTGGCCGCAAGGTGGCCTTCCTCTGGCCGGCCAGCGTCTCGAGCCCCCGCTGGCCCTCGCTCGGCCGAGCCTCCGATGACGGCAGCATCGCCTACAGCCTGCGGCGGCCCATCGCCTCTCTGGCTCGTGAAATCTGAATGGTCACTGAAAGTGCGTGGTAAGCATGGAGGTGAAATGTCTTCGCAACGGGCGAGGGGAGAGACAGAAGCAGCAACAGCTACTTTACGCAGGTTCGGGGATTGCGGGCATTTCGAAGTCCCGTCAAATTGTTGCCTTTGACACTCAAAAACAAAGACATATCATCCACTAACGTCTTACTGGCGCTGCTATTCTCAAAAATCCTAGCACCCTTTACCCGAGAAAATTAATTCGGAAGGGATCCAACGCGCAGCCCCCAAGACATTCCCGGCCAAGCAGTGGGCCCGGAAGACGCGACGCTGAACGAGAAGCAGACAATTTTTGGCACGACTACGGCCGAAGGCGAGGGTGACCGACATATTGTCACACAACGGAAGCTGCCTCATATCACACACTCGCGAGCCAGTTACAACACGAATGAAACCTTTGACAAGAGCACGAGCCTCCTTCACCAGAATTCCCTCAGAACGTTGCCACTTTTGCACTCTCACCAGTCGCCACAAAACTGACTTCAGAAGATTAGCGGGCACCTCGGGAAAAAGACTGATCCACTTCCCAGTTTGACGCCTCCGCGGAAGCACCACTCTCTTCGTCAAAACCTTCGGCGGCTGCGACTGCCCAGCTTCCGTCCGCCTGCCGACGGAAGCCCGCCGTCTCGAGGGCGCTCTCTCGGGCCCGATGGGAGCCCACTCGGCAGAAGCGTTGGCGCTCAGAGGTGCGACCCACCTCGCGCACGGCCTGAAAAGGCCAGAACGCCTGCGCCACCGCGCACCCCTCAGGGCCACTGTCGGTTTGGACCACCAGGTCGTTCCAGCTTCGGAGCCAGCCACTGAACATGAAGATCATTAGCGACCTGAAGGCCTGTAATTCGGAGCGGCACTCGTCCCACAGCGGCCCCGCCCGTCCTGAGGCGCGGCCCCGCTCCACGAAGGCATGCACCGAATGGAAGACACTGAGCAGGCCTCGGCAGCACAAGGCGGCAAACGTGCAGCGCCCCAAGACGACCTCAAGCGCCCGCGTGCTGGCCCGCCGGCGCCGCAGCAGCGCACCCAAAGCCTGGCAAATGTTCCAGAATCGTTTGGGCGCGACGCGCGTCCGCAGCGCCGCCCCGTCGAGCTCCGTGCCGAGCGCGACGACGCCGCCGCGTGAGCGTTCCGACTTGTGCAGCAGCAGCCCCTCGCGATTGAAGCCCTCCTCCAGCTGCTCGAGCGCGTCGCCAACTGCGGCCTCACAGACGCCTATCACTCCGAGGTTGTCTACATACACATAGTGGCTGAGCGCGTTGCGTTCCCCCCCCAGGGCGGGTCTCACCACCAGCGGCGGCCCGCGATCGTGCAGAGGGGATCCAGGAAGAGAGGGTGCCACCTTGGTCACGGTGGTCTCGTTGATCATCTGAGCGATCCATAGACTCCAGGTGAAGCCCATGGGGGGCGCAGCCCAGCACGGTGTTACTGCCCCCGCGCGGCCAAGAACACGCCCGTCAACCTCCGTGCCCGACGCGCCCATCACGTGAGCCGGCGCAGGAGGGAGGCAGAAGTAGTCAGACAGCCAAGCTGGCACGCGCAACCTGTGGAGACAGTTCGAGGCGTCCGAGAGGCCGATCGAGAGGCAGAAGTCCT